AATATAGTGAACAACATAATTATTAATTAGTAATATCAGTTGGCTGTGTTTCAGAAAGTATATGTCAGTACTTTTTGCACTTTTAACCTATTTACGCATTTATTTATATGTAGATAGCGTACTTTTGGGCTTCCATTTTTACACCCAAAGGATGTTGGAGTTGCTTTGGAACTGATTTTGCTGATTTCATACCAGAAAGTTAGTCGTTCGCCGGACAGATCCGATAACAGTACTTCCTTAGTTTACGCTCGGCAAGTAAAAATGAATTAATAAGACAATTGTGCGGTTTTTTTGTTGACAACTATCTAGAAGAAGATTGGTGATTTCCTCCTCGTATATCGACTGAGCATCCGAAACATTCCAAATGAATCTTTTCACTCCACATACAATACTGTTACGAAACAAACCCATAGGCCGCCCCGGTACGACACCTATGGATTCCCGAGCTTTCTAGTACGCACGGCGTTACTGATCAGTCAGGATGGCCGAGCGGCGGTCGCATAAAGACAAGTCTGGAGTATCCAGGAAAGTTTCGAGGCGGCGTTCGAAAAGCCTGGAAGCGGAAGTCGCTATGGATATTCGAGAAAGATCTCGATCGCAGAAGTATGGGTTGAAATAATCGGGAACGATTACTATTCAGCTAGCTGAGTCAAGAGAAGTTGCGCCGCAATTATTTTATAATCGCTGTAATAGTTATTAGTCGTGTAAATTCGAATTAGTAAGAAATAAATTGTTGAGTTTAACCCACGCCGAATTTAGTCACCGAAGAAACGTAACAATACCTTATTTTATACACCGCATCGAAACATGCATCACTTTTCAGATTTTCAAATAGGTAATTATATTAAAATCAGGAGCGTAGATAATGCTGTTCAAATATAAAATACTAAAGTATTGCAAAGAAAAAATTTTAATATGAAATAAATGAATTAAAAAATAATGTTTCAAACGATTCGAATTTGTGAAGGCAATATGATATACTTTTTTATTTTTTTTTATTTACGTTGTTATAGGTCAATAAGTCATACACTTTTTTCTTCTGTTTTAATGCATTTACCTGTTTCCTGCATTGTTGTAAAATATTCGATCGGTCGGTGCACGATAACCCTATGATATTTATTACTTTCAACGCCGAAAATACAAAATTGCATAAGTTGTCGACACGTTTCGCCAACCATATTTAGTCAATACTAACCCAAAGCGCAATTACAATTACGTTAGTCTGTATCCTATCTACCATACTCCTAATACCCACCTTTCTTCCTAAATCCACACGGGCGTAGAGACTAGACTTTCGTATATGCCTAATAGTGCTAGACCTACTTACACAGAGCCCACCAACCGGACGCGCTTCCTTTACGTAGATATTTACAAACATATGTGGTTTTACCGAGTATGAGTGAACTGAGGTTAACCGCAGAATTTTTGTATGGGAAATCAATCTATGTAAACAAAAATCCGAATTGAATAAAAAACACAACTATTAAATTAAATTAAATTAAAAATTAGATCACAATATAATACGTAGTAATCATACTTAAATCTTCAAATAAACTATATGGCACACTAACACTGATCTCATGATTACAAAACAATAAAATTAAATTTTAAAATTTTTCGAAAAAGGCGGATATGCATTTCAGGGGCAAGGGAAATTTTATTTAATTAACTTTAGACCCGTTCTTCTAAAATGCAGCAGGTTTTCTTATCTTCATGCGTTGATTTGTAGCTCTGATGAAATTTTTGTGGTAGCAAGTTCGACACTACAGACGTAACCGCTTTTGTTATGACGGAAGCATTATCGTCAGTACCTTCCCAAAACTTGACGATGTTTTCAGTAATTATTGCACAATCACGGATCTAACGTCATATCGACGAAATGTATTTTTCTATAACCAATTATTTTTTCAGCTTCAAATCAACTGTTTTTGCAGTTTCAAGAAAAATTGAGTCCATAATTTGTAGAGAGCAAATTGTTCTGACAGAATAGGTGATGGAGTTTATATTTACCTAAATAATAATATATTTTCTTCCTTTCAAATAACTTCTGCTGTTTGTTCCGCTGGAACTTCAGAAGCTCTTGTTCTGCAATGTGACTCTAAATTGATATCTATTCTCTTAATTTGCGTTTACCGCCCATCTTATTCCTCTCTCGTTTCTGATCTTGAATTGTTCTCCTCTTCAAACTCTATTATGAACACCTATCAGCACAGTGGCAATGTCATATTTGGTGATTTTAAGTATTCATCTCTCAAGTGGCCATTACATGTTACTTCTGATACCTATTCTTGTAACCACTTCTTAGAACTTCTTAAATAAAAACAAGCTAGTGCAGCTTGTTGATGCACCTACCTGATTTAGATCTGGAAATATTCCCTCTCCTCTTGACTTGGTCCTAACTAATGATCCGAATATTGTCACTGTTCTCGTAAATTTACCCCTTATTGGTAAGTCTGACCACACTGTTCTTGAAACCAAACTACAAGTGCTTCTTACCCAGTGCCCTGCAAAATCTTCTATACATAGACAAATTATTAATTATCTCGCTGTGGGTAAAGAGCTAAATTGCACCGACTGGAAACTAGCTTTTTTCAGATAATGAAGTTATTGGGTGCTGGAATTATTTCTTAGACACCGTTAGGTTAGGTTAGTGGTTTTGAGAAACTCCTACAAAAATCTAACTATTTTCCTTCTCAAGCCATGAATTGAAGGCGATGTTCAATCACTGATCATAAATAAACGACACCTACCGCACAAATTCAAATGAACTAGAAACCGTGTCGACTACATTGACCATCGAGCCGTTTCTAAACATTTGTCGCTATTGATTAAAAACAAAAAAAAAATCTTATATCGAACAGCTTGTTAATGGAGCTAATCGCAAAAAATTATTCAGATATGTTTGATCTTCATTAAAAAGTAATATATCTACGCCTGTTTTAAAAGACAGTAGCATTATCTTATTTTATGGTGATATCCGACTCACCCTGAGCCTGGCGTTTCCTCAGTTCATCTTTTAATTCTTTAAATTGTTCAATCTGGGAGTCCGTTTTGTCGTCAGAACTTGCTAGGAGCATTCTTATTTTTTAACAACGATCGAGCAATGAGTTGAAAAGAAAAGGATACACGAAGTATACGGAGATTTTGAGGACGTCTAAGGGTACAATTACGAGAAATCGAGTAAGAGTCTTGAGAGCTAGGGTTAATTATCTGGCATAAACTACAATATTCTTATCATACTCAAGATCGTCGTTAGAACGATTCACGCGATCAACAATCTCAGAGATTAAAGAGTTAGATGAGGGGGCAACATTTGTTGAAGAAACCGTTTTTAATAATTGAGTCTGCAAGGACCAAGGACGACAGAGTATTGGTAATAGAAGTGACCTGGTCTGACATGCGAGAATGAGAAGAAGTTCTTGGATATGTCCGGAGCAATTTTCCAATTTGTATTCATGAATATTCAAGGTTTCACTATGCTTATCTATATTAGCTGTTGTTTGAGTTGTCTGAGCTGATAGCATGGATTGACTGTTCTTAATTTCGGCAATATCGCTACCAATTTTTGCGAACTTATGCATGATAACTTTTAAATAATTATGAGATGAAGCGTCTCCGGATGGACCAGAAGAAGCAGAATTCTCTGCTGCAATCCACATAGCACATTTCCAAGAATTGTTGGGGCGTTTAGTATTAACATAATTACAATGGATTTTTTTTGTATAATTTTAGTGTAGATGAACTGCAATATTTATTAGTTTCAAAAAAAGGCTATATGCAGCATCTTAAGAACACGTGCCAGATTACACGGTAGACCAAGCTTGTAGTGCAAACAAAATCGACACTGCTAAAGGACAGAGAGTGCTGATACAAAAATTTATCGTAACTTTTTGAAACGGTTTCTGATAAGAAATATGTAGTTAAAACCAAGTGTAAGTGTAAAAATGTAACGGGTACTTATCTAACCACAAGCACTTCCACAATGGAGCACAGCAATGGTTAGTCACCCACACTTTCGTGAAAAAAGGGAAACAATGTGTTAGTAATTCCGCATAAAAGACGAAATAATGCCGGAGAGCAACCTTTACCTTGGTGTGTGAATTCAAGTTAAATTTTATATTTAAGAATACGTTTCCATACATGCAGTTTTAATTCACTGTTGCTTTCTGGATAAAAAAATCTGTTAAAAATTTATCTACACCTATGCTTTATCAATGTAGACATATTTTTAATCTCAAGTATGTAAGTTTATAAAAATCAGAATTATACAACACAATTTTAGAATTTAACCTAGAAACTAAAAAAAAATAAAGACGCTGAAATTTGCACACACTTTAAGGTCATCGTGAACCTAGTAAATCACTAATAGCTGTAAGGTTCATCCCTTCCAAAATTTTCAGTCTCACTTGAAAATTATACTCCGGCATACTGCCTTATTTGTGGTTTAATACTAAATTCGTATTATTATATTGACATATCGGGGTTGTCATAAAAAGATAAAACTTAAAAAATCAAATCCGATAAAAGGGACATGTTCGACTTTACCTCAGCTACTAAAAAACGTAGACACAATTTTCTGAACCCCGCTTCACATATCAAATTCATTTTAAAGCAGTTAAAGCGGTTTGTTAAGGGGACTTAAGTTTTTCCAATCAGTACTTTTTCAAAATTCAGATCGGAAATGGGGAAATTTGCATCTACAAAGTTGTAATTCGAATGCGTTAAATACCACCACCTCAAAAACTAGATAAAATGACTAAAAGCTGATTCACTTTATGGTATATAAACAAACGCGCGAGTTCTGTACACTAGTTTCATAATACAAGAAGTAAACGCGTATAAGCAATGAAAAAAAGATCGCGTCATTTAAAATTAATTGTTGGTGTTTTTGTAATTACTATATTTTTGTTTGCAACAGTTTATAGAAATGGTAATTGAAGCACAAAGGTGTTATTAATTATTACTTGGTGTATTAAATGTATATTTTTTTGTCATCACAGTCGCAATTAAAGAATCTTGCAACAACTCCAAGTCGTGCTCTTCTGACATCAATTCCGTTGTTACACCAGTGCATGAAAAACCGGGCAAACCTGAAGGTCTAAAATTGACTACCACCAAACCTAGCCCTCCCAAGAAAAGGAAGAGTATAGCAGCTTGCGAGGAATATGGCCAGCCTTATGAAGATCACAGGTTTAGAAATACACATTACAACCCATCGAAGGAAACACAGCAAGTGCAAACCGAAAATTGTATTACGCACATAAGCCACCTGCTAGCGACGTTAAAATATGTGGATACAACACAAAGTAAAAAACCACGAGCTAGGAAACTCTTGTGGACACCAGCGGAAATATCTGACGATAAAATATTAAGCAATACTAAACAGATAATGGAGACAATAGACAAAAAAAAATTAGAGAACCTCAAAGAGAAAATGAAATTTTTTGTAAGCAAAGGAAAAGTATCCTACGCACCTAATATCGAAAAGATGATCAATGATTGCTTTTCGTACCTGAAAAGTAGCTTCAAGAAACTAAAATTTTTAACTCCAGAATTTCCACACCTGTCAGCTTTAGCGGTTAACACTAGTAACAACAGATATGAATTTGTGTGCGGTGGATCTCTGATTTCGAGCAAATTCGTAATCACAGCAGCACATTGTGTAAAGCCCTCCAAACCAGATTTTGTTAGAATGGGCATTACATTTATACCCGATTTCGTTGAAGAATTCGACCCAAATTTTGACTACAAAGTGAAAGAAATTATTCCATATCCAAATGACAATAAAATCCACGACATAGCTTTAATTGGACTTATAGAGCACGTCACTTTTAGCAAAATAGTTAAACCAGCTTGTCTTCATACACAAGAACAACTTCCTAATAATTTGATCATAACGGGATGGGGTATGCGAAGGCTAAGTAAATTATGCCTCTTAATTTGTCTGTATTTTATTTACAAATACAACTATTTCAGATGAGGGACGATCCAAATATCTATTGAAGAAAGAGGTACAACTAGTTTCTGCCGAAGACTGCCTTAAAAATTATGCAGATAACGCCGGTACTTCTCAAATTTGTGTTATAAGTCAAACAGGAAGTAGTTGCATGGTACGTAAATAATTATCTAAATTACATTTTACTAAAGGATATTTTTATTACAAAGGGTGACTCGGGATCTCCACTTCAAATAGAACAAGAAGCCAAATTCGTTATAGTTGGAGTAACTTCCAATGGAAAAAATTGTGCAACCGCAACTCCTAGTCGTTACATTAATATATTTTATTATTTAGAGTGGATCGAATCTGTTGTTTGGCCTGACAATTTTGGCTAGTAAATATATAATAAGCCTCAAATTTTGCTATTAAAAGACTAGTCACTGCACGCACTACCTAGAAGGAACTCTCATTCTCTTTTGCAAGCAGATATTTATTGAATTTCGTTATTTATTTGTTTATTTATTTCTTATTATATAAGTTTTATTTAAGTTACCATTGGTATCGGCAGTCGTTGGTGTGACTTATTTATTTGTTATTCATGCTTACATCTGTTTTTTATTTGAGTTTTTAGATTTAACGCTATCAATGTCTCCTTAACTTTTTGCAAAGGATAGATAATAAAAACAATTGTTTAATAAACATGGCAAATTTTGATGAAAATAAATTTTAAATTAAGTGTACCCTACTGCTAATAAGCGTTTCATGTTCTCTCAAAAACAAACCTAAGTTTAAAATTTAGATAAGTTTAGTTGTCTTGTATCTACTAATAATAATTTATTGACTTCTAAATCTAAGAAGTTAAACATTATTATTTAATAATTTAATGGTTCAAAATTTAACTTCAATTTTTTTTCTGGGAAACATTTCTGTTATGATTCACAAAATTCAACTAAACTTAAAAAACGGTTAACATCAAAGACATTAATTAGTCTCCCCACCATAAGATAAGGAATTTCATTAGGAACAGAATTAATAAAGACGATGGCAAAACATCCCTGTATGTACAATGCGATCACAGTAAAATCACATGATATCAAAGTATTAAGAAATGAATGATAAAATAACAGCCTTCTCTATCATTGCAGCCACAAAATCACCTATTTGTGACAACGCTACCTAATATGTATGACATATATTTCCTAGTCTGAACCAAAAATACATCGCTCATTTGCGTATTTCCAGTTGAACGAGAAATTAATTTACACACAATACAAAAAATAGGTATTATATATGTAGTGAAAATCACCAGTAATTATGATTGCAATAAAACGTATTGATCTCTACGAGTGTATTAATTACTAATTTTTAATAATTTAGTTCAGTAACAACCATATGAATTTGATAGCACAAATAGGTACTTTAGATCAATTTACCAGAAATACTCATTGCGTGAAGTCGGAACCTACAATGAACTTCCCGGACATGTTCATGACTAAGACCGGTTGACGACACTATTGAAGTCATCAACATCTTGTACCTTATCAGAACTTTCAACCCGGAATAAACATATAACGCATCCTGAATAGTTGCAAAACAGGATTGGGACAAAGGACGCATTTTGAGTATTTTAGTATGTTTATGTGTTTGCTGTATAGATGATATTTGCATGACACAAGTATGGTTGATGAACTGCCACAAGAAATTATTGCAAAATTGATAATTGTAAAATGGAAAAGAGACACCATATTTGTAGATTTGCAAGTGTCTTTCCGATATTTAAGTTTAATCCATCTTCGAATTTATAACATTTCCTGTACTTATTGACTGCTATTTGGGTGAATATAGAGAAACAAAAACAAGTAGTCAGAATGACAAAAATTATCGCAGTATTTAAAGGTTTGATATTGGTTTCATTCATTTGTAAGTAACAAGCTTATATAAATAACTCTTCATCATTGACGTTCCTTTCAAAAAATGTATTTGTTTATGCCCCCCCCCCCAAGTGATGACTTCATGTGTTACACTGTTGCTGAATACATATTCTCAAAATTACGAATGTGCTTAAATATTTAATAAGTCAGTCCTCTCTTCTGTGCTGAGAAGACAAATCACTTTCATTTACTTTTACCACAAATGCCACCACTAATGCCTGTGGTTTGAGCGTACTAATATGTAATCGAATTCTTTCGAAATATAAATATAACAAGTCGAAGTTAATCATGTGGCGAGAAAGTGGGAATACATTTTTTCTGTTTCTTTAAATATATTCTATATTTTCTGTAGTTGTACGGACTGCGCCCTCTGCGCAGGGGCTGCGAGGGCGTTATTTACTACTGTTTTGTTTATAGGACTTATCAGAAAACAAAAATCTGAAAAAAAGATCCAAAATCAAATTTTATAATTTTTCAAAGAAACGAGCTTCAAGAACAAGGGATGTTTTGTTAGGTATGTATTCAATAAGAAGTATGCCTCTAATGTCCAAAAAAACGATTGTCATCAATTTTTGGGCAGATGGTTCCGTCCGTGCCTTTTTTGAGGGTGGAGATCCTTTGTGAACCCATTGCTTTGATTCAGATTTTGTTTTAGGGTCCCAGTGGTGTACCCAATTCTCGTCATCGGTCATAATTTGAGACAATAAGTCGCAATTCTCTTCAAATGTTTTCAAATGATGTCGTAAAATTTCCATTCTGCGCAGTTTTTGTTCGGATGTCAGCAGTCGTGGAACCCATCGGGCAGAGACTTTACTCATGTTCAAATTTTCATGCAATATGGTTATTACACTAGATTCGGATATTTTTAATGTCCTGCTAATTGTGTAAACCTTAATACGCCAATCTTCGAGGACCATAGCATCAACTTTTTGAGTGATTTCTGCATCTGTTGCTGTTTTTGGTTTTCCATTTCTGGGGTCACCTTCGATGGATTCACGTCTCTACCGAAATTGTTTAGACCAAAATTTTATTAGATAATAAGACGGTGCATCATTTCCATTTACTGCCACCATCATCTCACTAATTGTCTTTGGCTACTGGCCTTCTTTTATGAGGAACTTTATAATAATAATATTAATAATAATGATATTTATTTTCTACAGGTGTTATCACCCAATTACAGAAAATAACTTAATATTAATTCCCATATTAAAACCTACCTTTTACACAAATAAAGTAAAATAATTAAATTCCATAAACCTCAAAAAATTTTTGTTTTATAACATTAACGTTATCAAAATTAATATCACACAAATGAGATATACCATTAAATGTATTACACATGACAAAAATAGGCGATCTAGCTAGTTCTACAAGTAACCAGATTAAAACAGATTTTATATCGCGCATTAATCCTTGGAACAGTCTGGCAAATTTTGCTAATTATATGAATACAGTCGATTTTGTTATTTAGGGACTTAAATAAAAAAATAATACTCTGCGTTAACCTGCGTACTCGTAGCGAATTAAGAAGGAATCTAGTTAACAAATTAATTTCACTGATGCCCCTTTCAGGATAGACTCTATCTAATTATAGCAAATAAATTTTAGGAAGCGTCTTTGTACTGATTCCAAGTGATCGATATGTACGTCATATAAAGGTGACCATATTAAAGCGCCATATTCTAATTTAGAGAGCACAAGAGCAAGAAATAACATTATTAATGGTTGAATCTTGGTGAAATATTTACAGGAACGAATAAATCCTAAAGTCTTCAGTGATCTTTCAACTACATCATTCACATGTGGTATAAATGTAAGTTGGTTATCAAATGTTACACCTAAGTCGTTAAAGGAATCCGTTCGACTGATAGTGTAATCATTAGTCGAATTAATTTTATAGGGGTAAATAATAGGATATTTCTGCTTAGTATATGACATAACGTAACATTTGGGTTCGCTTAATTGTAGTAGATTTGTCCGACACCAGAAAGAAAGGACATTTGCATTCTGTTGTAGAGCTAGGCAACCATTAATAAAGTAAATTCTATGATACAACTTTAAGCCATCAGCAAACAACAGTTTATTGCATGGAATATTTGCCCGCAGATCATTGATAAATATTAGAATCAACAAAGGGCCAAGATTCGAACCCTGCGGCAGTCCGGACATTGGGACGAATGAGTTAGACATACAATTGCGATATCTCACACAATGCTGACGATTCATTAAATATAATTGAAATAGGGCTAATAATGAATCAGAAAAACCCAAGAGGCTCATTTTTTTAAGGAACAGCTGATGATTAATTGTATCAAACGCCTTCTCCATGTCTGTATATATCACATCCATCTGGCCATTGTTATCAATCGTCTCAGCGAGGTCTTGAGTAATGCATAATAAATTTGTTATGGTGAACCGATTTTGCATGAAGCCATGTTGTTCAGGTGAGATGGTATGTTTGATGGTTGTATATATTCTATTATGTACGACAGACTCGAAAATTTTCACGAAGTTGCAGAGTAGCGCTATCGGACGGTAATTTTCTATTTTTGATAGATCTCCTATTTTAAGGACGGGATATATACTACGCTACTAATAACAAGATTAAACAGATGTCTTAAAAGTTCAGGCAGTACATTATCACAGTCTCTTAAAAGAAAACTTGGAAGTCCATCTGCTCCAGATGTAAAACTGTTCTTGGATCGTTTAAGTGCTTGATAAACTTCATCACTAGTGATATTTGATATAGCCACAGTAATATCGTGGTCAATATCTGCTGTAATATTATCAGGAGTTTAGTATTAGCAGACATATAGACTGATTTAAAGAAGTGACTAAATCAATTAACAATATCAGTTGGTGTTTATATCGTGGTATACTTGTAGTGCATAATTCCAAGAATTCGGCTGTGACCCTTCATTGATCCAAAACTTCTTTGGATCAGTTAACAATGTAGCTTGCATGTTATTAATGTATAGGCGAAATCTCTTATCTATCAGTGTTTTCGATCTAGTAGTGGTTAGTGCCATATTTTTTTAATTTTTTAAGATAAGTTGATTTACTACGTCGACAAGTAATGATTTCCATATCAAACCATGAGGGATAAGCGATTTCAAATAAGTTATTAAGAATTTCATAAAACTTATCACATGCGGTATCAACGTTGTGAAGTTCATACAAATGATCCCATTTTGAAGATAGAATGAGTGTATAAAGATGTACAAAATTAGCTTTATTAAAGTTAAAATTTTGTATATTGCTACAAAATTCAAAATTTTTAAAAGAATTATCCGAAGTTGAGAAAGAAATATCAAGGGTAGGATGATGTTTGTCTTCACACACTATCGGGCAATCAGATTTGGTTACACTACAAGGTATATTGGCGAAGACTAAATCTAGGATACGACTATTGGAATTTAAAATTGTGTTATGTTGATAGAGACTGGAAAAACTTGCATAATTAATTAATATAGCAGTATATCTGTTATCCGAATAACTGTTGTATGACGAAACATGGAAATCCCCTAAAACTACTGTGTCACAATCAGACTCTTTGTAGAAATTACTAAAAATGAATGTTCAATTTTTTGTTATTGGTGTATAGATACTATTGAAACTCCCAATAAATCGATAGC